TGATCTATGTATCTGCTATCCTCAATTCCCACTGACCGTAACTGCTGTCGTTGGTTCCCCACTCTCCTCTCTCTCCTTTCTCTAGCGCACTTATATAAGATAATAGCACCCGTGTAGTCTCTTTGAGAATCTTCTAGACACTCATCACATGCTACCAGCATCACTTGACTTCCGCTGTCGTAACAATACAAACCACCTTAGTTGACGGAGCCTCCAAATTAGAAAACAACAAGTATTTTTTTTCAGTTTTGTAGTTTATACATTTCATTTTATAATTTCAGCACATAGCCTCTTAATAACAATATTAGGTTATACTTTTATTGCTGAGCATCATGATATAAAACCATTGTAGCAAAACATTGTTACCAAAATGCACTGGCTTTTCTATATATTAGAAGTTATGTAAAGAATCATTTCCTTACTATGGGGTTTTTTGCTATCTTGCCTAATTAAAAATATGCACACCGGCATGCGTGCATGCATGTAGTTAATATAAGTAATAATACCCAGTTGCAAAATAGTGTGAGTGCAAAATTTCAGGTTTCTAGGGTTCTTTGCTTTTGGTGCTATGGTGGTTACATATTCTTTCCTATGTGTTTTTTGCTAGCTTGCCTCACTAAAAAATGCACTTGCACATGTCGTATGCACGTGAATAAGTAATAATACCCAGGTATACACTCTTAATGTTCACTTAGTATGTGTGCAAATTTTCATGGAGGTCACATACACTCACAGGTAGGCTGCATGTGTTGATCATGAAACAAATAATTTCATGCAAGACACTTCCATTGGATGTTTTCTGCCTGGATGGTCTGCACTTATCGTATCAGAAGGTGCTTTCCTGGATGTTTTTTGCCTTGTCAGACAGCACTTGTTGATCTCTCAAAATATTATGTTCAAGATATAAATTGATGACGCTTATGCAAGGCACTTCCACTTGATGTTTTCTGCCTGGATGGACTGCACTTGACATAATATGATGTATACCAAGATGCTTCCCCCAGTTTTTTGTGGGCTGACCACACTTGGCCTATTCATATACATTTACAGTCTTTTAGTCCTAGCCACATATTCTTATATCTGATTCCAGGCACCTTCTTGAAATCTGACTATGATTGTTTCACGTGCTCATGCTTATGTGGACATCTTATGTATAATTTGTTGTCCAAGGATGGAATCTGTATTACATGACATGGTGCCTATCTATTAAGATCTGCCTTATGTGTTTTACTTTGTTCATTGCTGGGTGAAGAGCATACCTATTCCAGAAGTAGTGCTATACCCCACAGGTGGTCCTCCTTTTATAATTTTGGCACATCTGTTCTTTCATGGTGGTTGTTCTCCACTTGTTTGATTACCTTTGCACCTTCACCAGGTCCTCCACCTTGGTGAGTGGAGGTAGTACCATTTTGGAAGTTAATGTTTTCTAACATTAAATATATATTTCTGATAGATACTTACCTCCCCCACTCACTTCCTGGCCTTCCTCCCCACTGATTTGCTAGTGTTTCTGGCTTGTATCTGCTAATTTTTAAAAGTGAGGGTTACACTGTAATGGTAGAGGGAGCTATCTGTGCTGGTATAGGGGGTGCAATATGATTGGTGGAGGGTAGTCACATGATCATCACATGTTGCTTCAATAGTGCAAAAATGAAGGGGTATAAAAGAGTGATGTGCTGTTGAAAAATTTTAGCAATGCTTAGAGGGCAAATCGAGGTTGAGATAGCTTTGGGTGAGAGAGGTTGTACCTGTTGGAAATACATTTTCAGTGTTAGAAAATGTTAACTTTTGACTTTATTTATCAGCTATGATTATTGCAATACTTTTAGCTGACTTTTGTTCACAACACTCATATGACATTCCTTTGCCACATTTTATTTAGATGTTTTACTTTTCCCTAAAAACTCCTAAGGATAGTATAAATGAAAATATAAACAGTTGTGAAGCTCTTACAGCAACTTTATTACAATATTGTTACTACTTTATTATTGTTTTTCACATATTTTTAATCTTGTTTCAGTCCTATTAAAAAGGCTTTGACATGGATGGTGAATTTGTGACAGAAGTACCTAATGCTTTAAAACGTCTTGCTCGAATGGTGATGAGAGGATTCTACACAATTGAACATGTCATTGTTGTAGAAATGCTAATACGAAATCCATGTATGAAGGAGGATGACTTAGTGGAACTCTTGAAATTTGAACGTAAACAACTTCGAGCTGTGATAGCACAATTGAAAAATGACCGGTTTGTAAAGATGCGCCTTCGAATGGAAACAGGACCTGATGGAAAGGCTACTCGTCAAAATTATTATTACATTAATTACAAGGTATTAGACTGCAGTTCATATTGAACACGTAGTTCTAAAATGTATAGTATAACTGGGTCTATAAACACTGATTAATGCATTAGAAATGAATGAAACTTGTAAAGTTACTTTATAATAAGTAAGGAATGGACTTTGAGAATCCCCCACAACTTTTAGTTGTTATAGAGGAACTACCTTTATTACAATGCCAGAAACATCAGCAGATAACCAGGGCTGCAGAATCATTAAGGTTTTTGCAGACTTCCCCCTTACCTACCAGACTCGTGCTTACTGAGAATTGTAGAAACTGTTGGTTCACCGCAGTATATATAGATGCTAAAACTTTGTAATCAGGCCCCCTGGTGTTTAAAATACATTTATTATATGTGCTGAAGAACAATACAAGGAATATAATCATATGATAAAGTTTGTACATGTGTTTAGCTCACTTTTCTTTTTCAAATATACTGAACAAAAACCAAAACTTAATTTTCATTCTTATATATATAAAAAAGCAGTGGGGGTGGGTATGTTAAACTTTTTAAAATGTTAATGATAGAGATGTTTGTGTGGAGGGGATCATTCTGACTGACAATAGTTACACTATTAGGTAATGTCTGTTGTTTGTTAAAAACACAATGAAGAAAATATTTTTCAGTTGGTTAAAAGGCATCAAACAAACAGCACACAATACCCTATATTATTTATTCAAAAGTAAAGTTTCATCAAAAGCTCAGTCCATCAGCAGTAAAATCAAAGGAATGATTCAGGTATTACAGAAGAACACAGTTCATATTCTGAACATGTGAAACAAAACTTTCACAGCAGGATATATAAGCCATCAGTAGGGATTTCCAACCTGGCTGTTTAGCCCATGTGCATATAAGATGAAACTCGGGTTAAATATTTCATGTCTTCATTATATCTGTGGCCATTACCGTAACTGCTAGGAGTAAAAGTAACTGTTTTGTAAGCATAATGCTATTACACTATTGTTATTGTAGTGTAAAATATTTCATGTCTTCCCTATCTGTGGCCATTACCGTAACTGCTAGGAGTAAAAGTAACTCTGTTTTGTAAGCATAATGCTATTACACTATTGTTATTGTAGTGTAAAATATTTCATGTCTTCCCTATCTGTGGCCATTACCGTAACTGCTAGGAGTAAAAGTAACTCTGTTTTGTAAGCATAATGCTATTACACTATTGTTATTGTAGTGTAAAATATTTCATGTCTTCCCTATCTGTGGTCATTACTGTAACTGCTAGGAGTAAAAGTAACTCTGTTTTGTAAGCATAATGCTATTACACTATTGTTATTGTAGTGTAAAATATTTCATGTCTTCCCTATCTGTGGTCATTACTGTAACTGCTAGGAGTAAAAGTAACTCTGTTTTGTAAGCATAATGCTATTACACTATTGTTATTGTAGTGTAAAATATTTCATTGGCTGAATGACATTTGTTTTATGTAATTTTATGTTGGTTTTTAAACAGAGGGGGATTTATTCAACATATCATTATCTTTTAATGAAACTCCATTCTCAGAACCATGTTTGACGTGTAAGACGTGTATATCTACACTATAATGTTACTAGCTGTGTGCAGTCGTACATTTAAGTCTATTTTAAGTGCACTTTTGTTTTTCCAGGTGTTTGTAAATGTTGTTAAGTATAAACTAGATCACATGAGAAGAAAAATTGAAACAGAAGAAAGAGACTCAACTAGCCGAGCATCATTTCGTTGCACGGTATGTGAGAAGACATTTACGGACTTGGAGGCAGACCAGCTAATTGACTTTAACACCAATGAATTCCGTTGTACTTACTGTAATGAACCTGTTGAAGAGGATGAGAGTGCTCTACCCAAAAAGGATTCTCGTATGATACTAGCACACTTTAATGAGCAGATAGAATCTCTTTACATGCTGCTTCGTGAAGTTGAAGACATTAAACTTGCACCTGAACTTTTAGAACCTGAACCAACTGATGTCACACAAATTAAACGGTATGAATCATTATTAGTTGTCTCAAGTGAACCCTCTGCTAAATGTTTTTCTGACTATAGGGTATTATAAATGTGCATGTGTATAAAAATTATCTTTTACAACATATAATAGCTGAGATAACCTATTTAAATATCAGCTATACAATTACATGTACATGTAAAATATGTTTTAAAATTACATTTGAAGAAAATGTTTGAGGCTGAAAACAACAACTGTCTTCATCCTGGTTAACAAACACCATGTTTATGTCAGAACGCATAATTGTTTTAATTTTTTGTGAATTTTTGAAAATGTATTTTTTGTTTTCAATCACAAGAAAACATGCAAAAACATTTGTTTTGGGTTTTGTCATAATGAATTAATGAGGAGATATTCATGGTATAATGGATTTAGTGTCTATATATCCTATGGATGGGACTGAAATAATAAATACAATGTGGTGACATCTACTGAATGGCACCACAAACAAAAATACAATAAAAAATTTCATACTTTGGGTATTCAAGATTCAGACAATTAAAAAACAACTATGGTATGTGCAACTACCATTTCTTTATCATATAACACAATTTTAAATAAAGATAATTTTCTCACAACAAGAACACGACTTTCACTAGGACTGTACATCAGGATTATATCTTTATTGATGTAAGTTGTAAATATAGTACTAAAAATGGAGTTCTTAAAAACTTATTTTTGCAATAAACAGAAGCAATTTTAATATATAAAAACATTACACTTTATATTGGCACAATCCAAACATTTTTCCTGTGCAGTACTTCCCAGAAAAATCCTTTTTTTTAGAAAATGCTCACTTTTTTCAAAATTCTTCTAAATGAGGTATGAATACTACAATTAGTAATTACAAGCACAAACAGCTGCCTACAGCATGTCATTTCTGCTAATTTATATAATTTGTATGTTAATAGAATGGTTCTTGTGTTTAATTTTTTGCTTTATTACATGTAAGTAAATTTAGTAAAAATGAAAATGTTAACAAACCTTTAAACTATTTGTAACAGGCTACATAGCATATCCATTGCACAGGAAAAACATGTGATTCCAGTAAGAGTTATTCTTGGTGGACCTTATTCTTGCATTTCTTAATATAGTGTTTGAAAATTTGTGGACATCGAACAATGTCTTATGAGAATCTTGAATATGTCATGGAACTATTCTAGCTTTTTTTTTTTATACACATCCTGTTTGTGGTCAGTCTCTTGTATATTTTTACTTTATTTTTACATATTAGAGTGGCTGTTGGGAATCTAGGAATCTAGTGTCAGTACATGAGACTACATATACATACTCACTGGCCAAAGTATTTGAAACCAAACCTATTGAATAGAGTGGTCCTTACTTTCATTTATACAAAGCAGGTATTTACTTGAGAGAGAAATATAACCACCAGGGTTTTTAAATCCAGCCAGTAAGTTGTTTCTGTATCGGGATAGAAGATTTATCAAGTGTTAAGTTGGGCTTGATTGATGGGTGCCACAGTTGTGAGGATGGTTGAACTGACTGACAGATTAAAGGAGACCATTGACTTCTAAGTGAATATTGCTTGTTATCAGATAAAAAAAATTGTCTACTAAAAAGAAAAGAGTTTTGTTCAGGTTAGCAGACATTCAACTATGTGTAAATTGCCAGATAACTTTAGTAATGATCCATTTATACTAGAAATATGCACAGGGAGCTGTTTGAAAGTAACTTTGGTAAGTTTGATCCCTCAGATAAACTTCTATCTTTACCACATGTTGAAAAAAATGTTTCCACTGGTGCCTAGAATATCAGGATTGGAACAATGCTTAGTGAAAGTATGTAATTTTGTCTGATGATGAATATTGTTTCACATTGTTCTGCAGTGATGATAGGGCTTAAAATGTGGTGATAACCTATTGAATTCATAGATCTAACCATTATAACCAGTCCAAGGTACCGGCAACTTGGGCAGTTGCCTGGGGTGCCACATGGCAGGGGGCGGCATGTCATGTGTTTGGGATCTTCCAAATACAAAGGTAAAAATGCTAAAATAATAAATAAAATGTGAAAATTCCTTGAATGAAGTCAGATTTTCTGTTTATTACAACCAAACCACACATGTATTCCTGTGTGTGTGTGTGTGTACTGTGTAAGTATGAGCATGGGGGTGGCCTGTGGTGGTGCAATCGTGGTCTACACCACGATTGGTTGGCGGGTCGGCAAGAACTGGCCTGGAGCAAATGCGGCCGGCCAGCAACAGTGTTGCCATGTCTTCAGAAGAGTGCTGCGTTGATTGACTTCCTGATTTGTGGGGTTTGTGACCTTTAAACTTGAATGACTCATCATTTAATTCTGTACGTTTAAATACAGTTCTTTCTGTTATGGTGATCAAACTGTGAAAAACAATTGACAAAGAAAAATTTAATTATAGGTAAATCATGTAAATTATTTTATAATTTTTATGAAGTGTTTATCTGGCTGTTCTTAAGTTATTTTGCAATCATCAGATATGATAAAATATAGTCAGTTTCGTAACTGTATTGT